CCACTGGCAAACCTCAAAAGACCATGTACCTGCAGAAACCCCAGCCTGAGCAGCCTGCAACCAAGAAAGACCTTGACCTAGCCAAGAAGTCCCCCGTTGAACCATCATTTTGCTTAGACAAGGTCCAAGCACCCTCCAAGCCAGAGCAGGAGGGCATCACTCCTTCTGACCTGGCCAAGATAGCAAAAGTGATGAAAAACTTTCTTAAGGTGGATGAGGGTTCCATGGCCTCTCTCAGTGTGGGCAACAGCCAAGACCTGGACCGGCTCAGCTTCCAGAGCAGCAAGATGACCGATCTGTTTATCCGCTTCCCAGAGAATCTCCTGCTACACCGCGTGGAGAACACCCAGGGCCACATCCTCTATGCTTTCTTGGTGGAGAACAAGGAGCGAGAGGGCCGAGTGGTACACTTTGCCGTGCTCAAGGCTGAGACAGCTACCTCCGTGGCCAAGATGCTGAGTATCTTCACAGAGTTCAACACAGACTGGCCCAAGGTCAAGGTGGTCTTTGTGGACCCGTCCTTCCCCCATCGAGCCATCCTGCAGGAGATCTTCCCTGCTGCCCGCATCCTCCTGTCCATCTACCACACTACCCGGCTCTTGGAGAAGAAGTTGCATCGTAGTTCAGCAAATCCATCCTTTAAAAGGCTCATGAAGGAAGCCCTGCGGGAGGCTGTGTTTGTCACTTCTGATGCCAGCCTGCAAAATCTCTGTCAGATGTCCCAAGCCCTACTGGATGAGGAGCTCTTCAGCTTCCTGCAGGCCCACTGGTTCTCCTGTGAGCTGCTGTGGTACATGCACGTGAGGAAAGGCCTGCACGCGTGTAACACGTACATGGACAGCTTAGACGTTGTCACCAGCAAGGTGTCCAGCCTCTTTCGGGAACAGCAGTCTCTGCTGGACTGCATCCTCCGCTTTGTGGATTATATAGACTTCTTTAATACCAAAGGCTTGAAAAACTTGCCCACAGCTCCTCCCAAGTTAAAAAGAGCCCGACCAGCCAGCATGCCGCCAAAGTCCAAGAAGGCATTTGGAGTCTGTGGGGGGAGCCTCACCAGGCTCCCTGTGGAAAAGACAAAGCCAGAGCCACAGCGGGCGCCGTTGCGGCAGCAGCCACAGGCGCAGCCCTCCCAGGAGGGCATGCTAGCCACCTTGCACGGTAGTGGCTCTGAACTGGCCTATAAGCTGTGCCACAATGAGTGGGAGGTGGTGCAGAACTCCACCCACCTGGTGGACGTGGCTGGCTCCTCTGTGGACATTCAGCTGCTAGAGGATTCTCACCAGGTGAGCAAGGATGGCTGTAGCTGCAGCTGTTCCTTTCAACAGTGGTACCACCTGCCATGCCGGCACATTTTGGCCCTGCTGCACACCAGCCAGAAGCCTGTGGGTGAAGCCATGGTGTGCCGCCGGTGGCAGAAGAGGTACCAGCACCTCCTTGGGCCCAACGGGGAGCTCCGGGACCCTGTTGTGGTCCCAAACATAGGCCAGCCTGGGAAGCAAGGACGGAGTGACGTGATTCAGGACCTCAGCAGGGAGCTGGCAAACCTGCTAATGCAGAGTGAGGGGCCAGAGCTAGAGGAGCGCTGTTCCACCCTGCGCAAGATTGTGGACATCTGGGCTGACCCCTGCCAGCCGCCTGAGCCCAGTCAGCAGCCGGAGGACTTCAAGGATGTGGGCCGCCTCCCTTTCCTCTGGGGAAAGCAAGAGGAAGGGGAGGGACTCCCTCTTGCTGGAGCCACGATTCATGATTAAGACACTTGCACTGGCGCATTGGACCACAGGCCCCTCTCCTTGGAAGTCTGAGAACTCAAAGTGGGCAGGCCATGCCAGGGGTCAGCATTTTAACCACTGTCTTCCTAGGTAGGGCTAGGAAGATTGTTACAACAGGGAGAAGAGGAACCCCACTATGTGACAGTCCTCTGAATCCACCCCATTTCTGCCCTACCTTTGTCATTCCTCGGGAACCTCTTTCATTGTCAAGGCCAAAGTTATCTCCATGCTGAAAGGTCACCCACCCCTCTTTCTGCCCTGACTCCTGAGATGAGATCTTACTCCTGTCAGAGGGATGAATTCCTGCCCCAGGATAGGGTGAGACGAAATATACCTGGTAAAAGGACCTGTTTCCAGGGACAAAGGGATGGAGGGTGATCCTTAGCTGTTGCTGCTCTTTACAAAGAATCTGTTATTTGTACTTATTTTTATTCATATTAAATAAAGTTTTGGTTGTTTTTTTTTTTTTTTAATAAAATCAAATAAGCAGGGAAAATGTGTGCTGCTTGAACAGGGAAGGAACCTAATGGGGGTTGTAGAGCCAAACAGAATCTGATGCCTTAAATTCAAAGACTTAGGAGTCCACCACTGACTTCATCTTCTTGCTACCAACCAAGCCATCAACACTGATTTCAGGCTGCCTAGAATTCTAGCAGGAGGAGGCCAAATAGACGAGGGGGGTGGGGGCTAGACTCCACAGCCTGAACTTGCTGGCAGACTGTGGGCAAGTTTCTAATTTCTTTGACCCCAGGTTTCTCACCTGTAAAAATAAATGTTGCCCTGTTCGAATCCCAATTTACCCTCTAGATGTATACAAACAGAACATTTCCTTCCATTTTTTTTTTTAAGTGTAGTTACTTATTTTGAGAGAAAACAGGGGATGGGCAGAGAGAGGGGGGAGAGAGAGAATCCTAAGCAGTCTTCCCGCTGTCAGCGCAGAGTCCCAGGCAGGGCTTGATTTTACAAACCGTGAGATTATGACCCCAGCCGAAATCAAAAGTCAGAGGCTTAACTGACTGAGCCACCCGGACGCCCCCGTTTCAGTTTTAAGCACCAGCATGGACTTTTGTTGTTGCTGCTGGTTGGTAATCTTAACCACCTAAAGCTGGGGAGCTACCCAGCTGTCCAAGATACCACCTTCAGGGGAACCGAGGTCAAAGTTAGCAGTCGGTCTTGCCTCTTGCTTGCACCGGGATCTTAAGTCACAGCGCCTTTCTGGATCTCTTTCTTCTGTAAACCACTGGAAGGGGTGGGGCTGCGCAACACCAAGGTTCAGCTCTCTCAAGGAGATCTGGATTTCCTCTACTCTAAGGGTTGGGCCCCTGACCCCTGGTGGAGAGGGCAGAATTTGAGACCTGGGCCTCCATCTCCCCATTAGGCAGAAGATACAGTACAACTGCATAGGCACCTTTTCCTATCCCCCGGGGCTTTGGAATTTGGCCAGAAAAGAAAAAAAAAAAAATCCATAAAGCACTGCAATTTATTTTCCTTTTCATTTTCGGCCTCTGAGGAGTTTCCATAGTAACAGGCTCTTCCAGAGTCTTCTCCCCAGACGCGGGGCTCCGGAGTTCCAGCCTCAGAGCTTAGGCTTGCCAGGATGCTAGTATCTTCGGGCTTTCATTGGTCACCGCCAGCCGAGCCCCTCGTAACCCTAGGAACAGCACCCGCCCACAAATCGCCAGGCTACGATTGGTCTATGCCCCAAAGATCGACCGCGAACTCTTCAGGCCATTGGTCCGAGTCACGGCGAAGCTGGCGCCGCGGTTGGTGAGCCTAGAGGTCAGTCAGAGTCAGGCAGGGTCAAATAGGGAGACATGGCGACGGAGCCAGGCAGTGGGTGAGTGATTTCTGAAGGCGTGGAGGTGTGAGGCAGTTGATGACCGCGGTCAGCCGTGACACAGCCCCCAACGGGGTGGGAGGTTGACTTCTCTTCCGGCTCCGGCCGGACTCCGAATGGGAACGTCTGACATCTACATCCTCCCACCCGGGTTAGAGGTGAGAGGTCAGAGGCTGCGGCCCCTCTCTGGTGTTTGGACCTCAGGTACTGTGTGGAAAGCAGTCAGGATCAGAAGTCAAAGACTCAGCTTCCGGCTACTTACAGAGTAATGGTGGGCAAGTCACTTAACCTCTTTGAACCTCAGTTTCTTATCTGTAGAATGGGGACAGTAACCCGATTTGGGGCCAAATAGAGGAAACATTTGAACAGAGTACTGCAGTTAATAGAGGGATTAATGGAGAGGCAGGAGAAGCCAAGCACATTTGATAGCCCCTGTTCGTGGTTCAAGGGGTTGAGGCTCAGAGGGAGTGTCACTGACTTGCCCAGAATCATACAATTTTGGGGGCAATCAGTTCGCTTGTATATACCAGGACCAAATGGAAGAATGGATGCCAGCAGTAATTTGCAAATATAAAGCACTAAACAGATATTTAAAATGCTATTTAAGAAAAAAAAAAAAAAAAAAAAAAAAAAAGGCCACATGCACCTCCAGCCTTCACACCCATTTCAATCTCTTGGAACTGAATTTTCCTATGGCCACCTTACCAATTGGTCTCAGCACCAATGTCATCCTCTCTCCCCACCCAGAGAGAGCTTCCCTGGCCACCTTAGCTAAAGTATCCCTTCCTCCCCCACCTTACTCTCTACCTGTTACCCAGTTTTGTGGTCTTTGTAACCTTCCTTATGTGTTATATCTTTATCTGTTTACACGTTTATTGTATATCTCCCCCAGAACAGTAAGCAATACTGTCACAGTAATAAGCAATACTTACATAGTAAGCAATATTGTCTGGATACATAATTGAAGAGCTGAGCCCCTACTATTGCCTTAAACTTGTGTTCCTCTCCCTAGGCCCATCTTCGGAACAAGATCTGGGAACTACAGTCCAGCCTCAGGCTTCAACTTAGTTGGAGCTTGAGATCCTGAGAGTCTCCTGGACGGCAGCCTTGCAGAGAAAGTACTTTGACCTTGGCATCCAGACATCTCCCATCTCCCCATGGCCCTGACAATGCTGAATGAGCTCCTGATTGAGGACCCAAACCCACCTATGCTGCTGTATCAGATTAGCAAGACTGCTGAGTTAGATACCCTCAACTACCAGAGCTGCTTTATGCAAGGTGTCTTTGCCCATTTCCCTGAGATCTTATTTATCCACCGGACCTATAACCCAGTGGGCAAGGTGCTATATACCTTCCTGGTAGATGGACCTCGGGTGCAGCTGGAGGGTCATCTTGCCCGGGTGGTCTACTTCGCCATTCCCGCCAAGGAGGATGCTGAAGGCCTGGCCCAGATGTTCCAGGTGTTTAAGAAGTTTAACCCAGCATGGGAGAGAGTCTGTACCATCCTGGTGGATCCCCACTTCCTCCCCCTGCCCACCCTCACTATGGAGTTCCCCGCAGCTGAGGTCCTGCTCTCAGCCTTCCACATCTGTAAGTTCCTCCAGGGCAAGTTCTATCAGCTGTCCCTTGAACAGCCTGTGGAGAGGGTGCTTCTCACTTCCCTGCAGAGCACGATGTGCTCGGCCACAGCTGGCAACCTGAGGAAGTTGTACACGCTCCTGAGCAGCTGCATCCCTCCGGCCCAGCTGCCCGAGCTCCACTCACACTGGCTGCTCAATGACCGCATCTGGCTGGCCCACCGCTGGAGAAGCCGGGCTGAGAGCAGCCGCTACTTCCAGGGCCTGGAGGTCACCACCCGCGTCCTCAGCCAGCTCTTTGGCACCACCCCGTGTGTGGAACAAGGCATGACCTTGCTGCTCCGATACATGCAGCAGAACTCTGGAGACAAGGCAAGCTCCAGCCTGGGCCTGAGTCCCCAGAACAATCACGCCCCCTTAGACGTCAGCCCCGAAAGCCCCAGAGCGGAGCAGTTAGGAGAAGCCCGCATCCAGCACTCCCTCAATGCCATCTGCACGGGGCCAGCGGCCCAGCTCTGCCTGGGTGAGCTTGCTGTGGTCCAGAAATCGGTGCACCTCATTGGCTCCGGCTCAGAAAAGGTGAACATACAGATCCTGGAGGACACCCATAGGGTGCAGCCTCAGCCCCCTGCCAGCTGCAGCTGCTACTTTAACCAGGCCTTCCACCTGCCCTGCCGCCACATCCTAGCCCTGCTCAGTGCCCGCCACCAGGTGCTCCAGCCCGACATGCTGCCAGCCCAGTGGACAGCAGGCTGTGCTGCCAGTCTAGACAACATCCTGGGCAGCAAGTGGAGTGAGACACTGGACAAGCACTTGGCCGTGGCGCTCCTCACTGAGGAGGTAAGTCAGCTTTTGCAGCACTGCAGCCAGGAGGAGTTTGAACGGAGGTACAGCACCTTGCGGGAACTGGCCGACAGCTGGATCGGCCCTTATGAGCAGGTCCAGCTCTGATTACCCTGTGCCCAGAGATGCTCACACACACGTACACACTCACATCCACCCCGACACACACACACCAACATGCACTCACACTGTTGCACTTCCATGGGCCCTCCCTCCAGGAAAGGACAAGGCTCTTCTATTCTACTGCAGACTGCTACCTAAAATGTGTCTAGTTCCCTAAGACAGGAGTCAGCAAACTTTTTCTGTAAAGGGCCTAGCAGTAAATACTCTAGACTTTGCTGGCCACAGTCTCTGTTGTATATTCTTGGCTTGGTTTTGCGTTGACAGCCTTTTCAGAAGGTTAAAAACCATTCTTAGCTCAAGGGCCTTGCAAAAACAGGTGACCCCCTGCTCTAGGATAAGACACTGAGTGGAGATCAAGGGCAGGGGCCTGGTAACAGCTTCCCCAGTCATTAGATGATTCACCTGACCCACAGAGAAGGTGGATCCCAGCCTTTGTCCCCTATCCCCCACCCAGAGGTCATTAAAGTCAAATGTTGCCTATTCCAGCACTTGTCTAGTTTTTTGTCTTCTAGAAGGCAGCAGAGCAAATATCGCAGAAAGACTTGGAGTCTGACACTACATGCAAATCCTGGTTCCTTGCCTGATTTCTGAGGCCTAGTTGTGCCTGTTACTAGCTCTGAGACTTCAGGCAAGCCACCCTTAAAAAGGCTCAGTGTGTTCATCTGTAAAAACGGAGATCGCACAGCATTGGCAAGACTAAAGGAGAGCCTGCATGTAATGGGCCCAGTGCCCAGTGGGTGCTCAAATAACTGTTCATTTTCCTTCCTTGCCTCTGCTCCCATCACCTGCCCTCAGCTGGCCGGGAAATGTAAGGCAAGAGGAAAATTCACATTGCCTAGGACATTGTCCAAGAAATCTTGATCGGATCCCAAAACAATACAAAAGCGACCTCCACTCCAAGCCGGGCCCCCTCCCTCAGGTAATTTTCATCATAACTACTCTGATAAGATCTATTTCCTGACTTAGTGCTATCTGGAGAAACTTCCTGGGGTCTGGACCCTGATGAAAGACTTGCGTTCGTCAGAGCAGCTCCAACGACTGCCCTGTCCCCATCCTTGCCACAGGCACCCCCAATCCTGTCTGCCCAAAAACCATACGGAGAAGCCACCCTGTGTATCTGGTGCTATTTCATCCAGCTACAAGCAGGAGCCAGGAGGCTGGCCTCTCCTGGATCTCATTAGGGGCATTTGCCCAGAGGCTGCGTGGGCGTGTGCCTGCTCCCACCGCGCCCCCTCCACAGCCCCCTCTGGCTCCGGATGGGCCATCATGAAAGCTTGAGCTGCCCGGATCAGGTCCTCTTCCCGCAGGCCGGGGACAGGCACGGTGGGGATGCCAGCGATCATCATGGCCAGGGTAAGGATGCAGATGTCAGGCTGGGAGCCGGCCTCCTTCCCCCCTGCCTCAGAGGGCATGGGTAAAATCCCTGGTGACAGCCCACACAGCAGCAGGGGCCCAGGCCTGCTGGGGCCACCCAGGTGGGGAGCTCTGTTTCTGGAGCAGCCGTCCTCCCAGCCCAAGCTCTCCGGCTGCCTCGCGTGGGGGGACTTGTGGTGGTTTCGGCTGTACTCCTTCCGCCGCAGGGTCTCCCAGCTAGCCCCCCCAGGGCAGCCCCTGGCTTCCGGCACTGCCAGGGCCGGGCCCCGGGCCTGGGCAGCAGGTGCCACCTGCTCAGGTTTCTGGCTCAGTGGGCCTAGTCCACCAGGGGCCACCACTACTGGCTCTACAGCACTATAGAGGCCAAGGGATGCGCCCGGAGAAGCAGCCCCACCTGTAGAGACAGGAAGGAGATGGAATGTTATTCTTGGTCTCTTTGAGGAGGCCCTGAGGGGCAGGGCATAGGAGCAGAGCACTGGAAACAGGAGCCCCAGCAGGGCTGTCTAGTGGTCAGGAACTAGGTGTTTTACTCATACCCACATCCCCAGGCCCCAACATCGAATAAGTAACGGAGAAGTGTTTGTTGAATGAATGAGTGAGCAGGCAGGTAGCTACCGGCAAGGACTTTTGGAATGGCGTTCTTCAGAGAATTGACTCCAGGGCCAGCCCCCAAATCCCCGGCAGAACCTCCACCTCCCAGGAGGCAGGAAACAAGTTCTCAGGGGAAGTTGTGGTGCCCCCTCCAGTTCCAGAAGACCCTCTCTCACCTTGGCTGGAAGGCAGAAGACCTTGATGAGCTTGTGGAGACATGAAATAGGACATGTCTGCCCCAAAGCCCCCGTTTGTGAGGGAACAGTCACCTGCCTCCTCTCCTACCCTTTCCACCATTCTAGAACGTCACTTCATAGTCCCTCCCTTGTACACCTGGAACCCACCTCACAGCACTGACCTGTTCATTCTAGAACCCATATATGACAATGGGATGGGGTTAAAAGAGCATTGGACCAGGGACCGGACATTCTAGGTTCTTACCTCTACCTTGGCCGAGTCACTTTGACAGTTTTGTTCCTGGACAGTCTTCTCTAAAGTGGGAGTAATGGCCGCCCACCACCTTACCAGCGTTGTGAGGATTAAATGCGATTATTTGTATGGAAGCAAATGATCAGAGATAGAAATAAAGGAGGCGAGTGCTTTGTGCTCTGCAGTATGAGAGAGGGAGTTTGCTGTGTGCCTCTGGAATACGTTCCCATCTCTAGGCTTCAGTTTTCCGACGGCAAAATGAAATCGTTGGTCTGGGACACTGGGTCGCACACTGGGGTGCACATGAAGTTCTCTTGGGAGCTTTTAGAAATACTGAGGTCCAGTCTCATCCCAGACCAATTAAATCAGAATCCCAGGGTCAGACCCAGTTGTCAGTATTTTTCAAAGGTCTTTAAGTGGTTATAATATATGCCAAAGTCAAGACCTCTATTCTAAAGGAGCGCTTCTCAATCGTGACTCTATGTTAGAACCTCCAGGCTGTTTTTACAAAGCAACGATGTCTAGGCCTAATCCTTTGACAAATGGAATGAGAATCTCTGGAGATGGGGTTTGGGGCATCAGCTTTCTAGGTATCCCAGATAACCCTAATGAGTAGACAGGCTGGGTACCACTGGTCTAGGTAATGTCTAAAATGTTCTCTCTTGGGGTGCCTGGGTGGCTCAGTCTGTTAAGCGCCCGACTCTTGGTTTCAGCTCAGGTCATGATCTCATGGTTCGTGAGTTCAAAGCCCAGCATCGGGCTCCGCGCTGACAGTGTGGAGCCTGCTCGGGATTCTCTCCCTCTCTCTCTGCCCCTTCCCCACTCATTCTCTCTCTCTGTCTCTCTCAAAAATAAATAAACTTAAAAAAATAAAATGCTCTCTCTTGCTCTGACCTGCTGACCCACAACAATTCTAAAAAGTGCCCCTCACAGGCTTCCAGGGCAAGGAGACCCTCCAGTGATCAGTGTCAGCTTCGGTGTGTTTATTTCCAGGCCTGGCCGGCAGCAGTACGGCCAGCTTCGGACCAGCCACAGCTCCAGGGCCAGGACGCACTCCTGTGGCCCTGTTCCAGGGTGGCCGCAAGCCTTACTCATACTTGCAGAAATCCTTAAGTCCTTTCGGCAGGTGGAGCCCATCGATGGCCAACCGGTGCACCACACTCCTCTGGATGACTAGGCGGCACAGAGTCTGCAGGGACGGCACTGTGGAAAGAAGGCTGTCAAAGGCAAACTGAACTTGAGGCTGAGACCCAAAAGATCTAGGTCTCGGTTCTCCTTTTGTCATTAACTTGGGCAAGTTCCTTCTGCTCTCCAGGCCCAGCCTGAGTCATGGGGCTGTTCGTGTGGTCAAGATAAGCACCTCTTTTCCAAACTTTGACATTGCTGCAGCCCTATTTCTATTTTAACCCCTTCTTAGCAGCTTCCGGGGATATAGGTAGTGCTTGATTCACCTATGCTCACCCAGCTTCTGGCACAGGCCTGACAGAGTGGGTTCTAGTTCAGTGAATCCAGGAAATGATCACAGGAATAAATAAAGAGCTTAGCAGAGCTATGAAGAACCAGACCTCAGGATTAAGACGCTCTCAATCCGGGGCCTACAGTGCCTTTGAACTGGTATGCCTAAATCTAGGAGCATTTGTCGAATAAAGGGGCACACGATTTTCAAAGCAGCCTGGATGTAAAATCAGTCTAGAATCCCTGCCCTAGGGATTCTAGGTTAATACAGAAAATACTGGCAAAGCCAGCATCCTAATCCATCACAGCTGAGATGGCTAAACTGAGACCCAGAGCCAGAGAGCCACTTGTCCAAGATCACAAGCAGAGGCATAATTGGAAATTCGATTCCCCAACTTCTAAACAAATGCTGGACAGACCAAGGCCTTGCTAGCTGGCTTGGGAGTCCTCGCAAGTTCCTGTCCCACACTGGGCCAGGAGGGGTCGCTGCCCAGGGGGTGGAATACCTACAGCCATACTCGAGCTGGACAAGGCGCACACTCTTGGTGGAGGCAAAGACGTCCACCACTGCGTAGAGGGGCTGGGCGGCTGGCAGCCCCCGGGCGCTGGGACCCATGTCCTCGCCGTTGATGACGATGTGCATGTCCGCCGTGCCGTCAGGGCGCGGGCAGAAAAGAACGCCCAGGCGGCTGCGGCGCGCGGTCGGAGGCAGCACGTTCAGCTCATACAGCTGATCCAGGAGGTGGCTGTAGAGCCCCGGCCGGCTGCGGCCCACCAGGCGGTCTCGGGGAATGCGAAACTGCTCAATGCACAGATAGGGTTCCACCAGGAGGGCTGGGGGGCGGCTGGGGACCGCTGCCTCTGCCTCCGGGCCGTCCTCCCGGGGCACGCGGTTGTGATGGCGCGTGATGGCAAAGACCCAGGTGTGGCCGAGGCTGACCAGGTCGGGCAGCGAAAACTCGGGCACCGCGGCCAGAGTGGCAGGGTCTAGCGCAGTCAGGCCGAGGCGCAGGTGCCCGCACCAGCCCAGCTCTTTCTCCTCGATCTCGACCAAGAATACCTGGCCCGGGGCCAGCGGCTCGCGACTGAAGCACAGGCCGTGAGCGAAACTCTCCACGCGTGTGGCCCGCGTCCCGGAGGGGTCCACGCGGATGTTGGCACCATGCACCCTGTGGAAGCGGGTGGGAGGGGGCTCGGGGCGCGCGGCTCTCCAAGGCGCACCCAAGTCCACGGGCTCGGAGACAGCAGCCATCTCCCAGCCGTGAGATAGGCCAGCGGGCGCCGGGGGCTATTTTGGGCGGCGTGCTCTGAGGGTGACCGCGGGGGCACCATGTAAGGTATCCCTCCCACTCCACCCCCCCACCCCCTTCCCCGAGGCTCTGCCGGGGGGTCCTAGCGCCGCTCGCTCAGCCATCCTGCCTGGACCGGGGCCCCCGGGAGGCCGGGGGATCCTGGCCGCCCACATCTGGGTCATCGGATGGCTGGCGCCCGCGAGATAACCTGAGAAGCCCGCGGACTCTGACCCAGCGCCGGCCGCCGCCGCCTGCGTCCCCGGGGTCCCCGGAGACCTGAGAGGCGCCGGAGGAAGACTGTCACGTGGCACCGGCGGCCACGTGACTCGGACTCCACATGACTTCCCGTGGCCGAGCCCCTCCGGGAGAGCAACGACGCTGGGGAGTCGAGGTGAGGTCGCTCTGGAGGCTGGAGGGGACCCGCGGTCCTGGGCGGCGCGGCGGGCGGGCGGACGCTGGGGCCGGGCCGGGTTGGGGGGCTCCTATAGCCGCCGCGCCGTCAGCTCCTCCGCGGGGCGATCGCACCGAAGCGTTGGAGGAGCAAGGGAGCGCGGAAACAGTCGGCCCCACTTCCTCCCGCAGATGGTCGGAGCCGCGCTGTCGCCGCGGTGGTTGCTACTGCTGCTGCTGCTGCTCCTGGCCTGGGCGCCCCCGGGCCGGGCAGCGCCGGACCTGGATGAGATCCAGTGCCTGCCCGGGCTGGCCAAGCAGCCAGCTTTCCGCCAGTACTCAGGCTACCTCCGCGGCTCCGGCTCCAAGCACCTCCACTACTGGTCTGCGCCACCCCCCACCCCGTCCCGGGCGGGGAGGTGACGGGGCGCGGGGTGGGGGAGGGTCTGAAGACCCCTGAGGGAGCCTGAGAGCAGGGAGCGCTGGAAGGGGCCCCTCCGCCTGCACCCACCCTGCTCTGCCTCCCCTCCCAGGTTTGTGGAGTCCCAGAAGGATCCCAAGAGCAGCCCTGTGGTGCTTTGGCTCAACGGAGGGCCGGGCTGCAGCTCCTTAGACGGCTTCCTCACGGAGCACGGCCCCTTCCTGGTAAGTCGAAAGCCACCATCTGCCCCCTGACCAGCAAGGGAAGCATTCCTGAAGGAAGGGGCCCGGGAGGAGGGAGAACAGGACTCGGAGGTTTTTCCCAAGCGCGCCCTTCTCCTGAGCCTGGGTTTCCTCATCTGTACCATTCGTTTCACTGTCTGTACCTTTCAAGGGTTTTGCCCAAATGTGAACTGCCCAGCACGGTCACCCTTTCCTTCCATCCAGTTAGTCCTCGGGACTTAGCCATCTCTTTCCTCTTCAGGTGCAGCCAGATGGTGCCACCCTGGAGTACAACCCCTATTCCTGGAATCTGGTATAGCCGGAGCCGGGGGTTCCTGTGGGGGTGTCTGAGCACTTGGATGGGTTGGGGATTCCTCTTCAGTTCATTTCCTCCTCCCCTCCAGATTGCCAACGTATTGTATCTTGAGTCCCCAGCTGGGGTGGGCTTCTCCTACTCTGATGACAAGTCTTATGCAACCAATGACACGGAGGTGAGTCCAGTGCCTGCCCTTGTGCCCCAGCCTCCCTGGTTCTCTAAAGGCAGCGAGACCCAGGAGGGAAAGAACGTGGCCTTGGAGTCTGGATTTTGGCTCTGTCACATGCTATGTGTGGTCTTGGCCAAGCCACTTCCTCTTGCTCAGAGAGGGTGGATGTCGTTATCTCAGATTCTTTCCAGCTCAAATGCCAAAGCGTTTTGATCCTCTCCTCCTCTTTTCCCTAGGTCGCCCAGAGTAATTTTGAGGCCCTTAAGGATTTTTTCCGCCTCTTCCCGGAGTACAAGGACAATGAGCTCTTCCTGACAGGAGAGAGCTATGCCGGCATTTACATCCCCACCCTGGCAGTGTTGGTCATGCAGGATCCCAGCATGAACCTTCAGGTACAGGGCCGCTGCAGGAGGGAAGAGAGGCAACTTGTCCTGGCCTTGTGGTTAGCAGCGTGAAAGAGGCCATTTTCTCTGTCCAACCTGGTCCCCTTTATAACATGCTTGCCACTGGGTGGCCTGTCTCTGCTCACGTGCCTCCCACAACAGGAAGCTCACCTGTCAGCCAGCCAGCTCTGTTCTTAGCTTCAAGTGGCCTCCCCACAAACCACCTTGGATTTCAGCTTCCAGATTGCTGAAGGTCTGGGTGTAGTCAGGGGAGGCTCCCCCTCTCCCTCCAGATGACCTGAATGCCCTGGGTGTTTCACAGGGGCTGGCTGTGGGCAACGGACTCTCCTCCTACGAGCAGAATGACAACTCCCTGGTCTATTTCGCCTACTACCACGGCCTCCTTGGGAACAGGTATGGGAGGGGGCAGTTGGGCAATCTCTAGGGTGGGGCAGATCTTGAGGTCTCAGGTCTGCCCTCCAGGCACATGATACCCCAGGCCCTACCCTAGTTTCTGAGCAGGGGGTGGGGGCTGGGATTGCTAGACGTGTTTGGTGCTGAAAGGCCAAAGAATGGAGACCAGAACTTAAATGGACTCAGGAGGGCTGGCCGTGTGGCCCCAGAGCAGCTAGGTTTGGAACTTGCATACCATCCCCTGTGATCTGTTTCCTCATTGGCTGGGGTCAGGTGGTGGCGGGAGGTTGGATGTGGAAGGTGGGAGGCCCACCTTGGGCCTGAACACTTTCATGCGTCTCCTACAGGCTCTGGTCTTCTCTCCAGACCCACTGCTGCTCTCAGAACAAGTGTAACTTCTATGACAACACAGACCCAGAATGCGTGACCAATGTGAGGTTCTGCCGCCCAACCTGTGTCACCCCTGACTCCCCCGGCCCTGAGAGTAGGACCACATCTCCTCCTTCGGGCCTCCCTGACCCCATCCCCTATTGCTTTCCTATCCTGCCTCCTCCAGCAATTTGATGTCCTCTGGGACACGTCTAGGGATGTGTTCCCACCACTACTTCCTGGGACTTTCTAGGCAAATCCCTTAACCCCTGTGAGGGAAAGGATCTCCCTCTTGTCGAGCATCTACTCTGTGCCAGGCACCAGGCCGAACTATATCAACATAGATTATTTAATCTTCAAGATTCCTTTAAGGGAGATCGTATTATCCACATTTTCCAGAAGAGGAAACCGAGGCCAAGAACGTTAAAGTCACTCGCCTGAAGTCACAGTGCTAGGGTGTAGCGGCAGTAGGCTCTGGACCCAGGTCTGGCAGATTCCTTCCACTGAGCCTCAGTTTCCCTGCCTGTGGAAAAAAAGTGGGGGAAGGGTAACGACAAGAAGTGGAGTAGGAGAGCCGTCAATCTTGGGACGAGTTGGTGAGATCGTGGGGAGGCCGGGGTTCTGTGAAGCACGGTGGCTCCCATGTATCATTGCAGCTGCAGGAAGTGTCCCGCATCGTGGGCAACTCCGGCCTCAACATTTACAACCTCTATGCCCCATGTGCTGGGGGTGTGCCTGGCCGTTTAAGGTAGGCCCTGCCGTGTGCCCTGGGGGCCAGTCCCAGCCCCCATCGGGAGGCTGAGGCACACGTCCCCCGCTTCACTTGCAGGTACGAGAAGGACGCCATTGTGCTCCATGACTTGGGCAACATCTTCTCTCGCCTGCCGCTGAAGCGGACATGGCATCAGGTGTGCAGGAAGAGCATGGACTTTCTCCTGGTGGCGGGGGGAGGGGG